GAAGGCCACATGGGGAGTTTTGGGAGCTGTTGTGGGCTGAATCAGCACTCTTCCTTCCCTCCCCACAACCACACACAGCAGTTCACCAATCCTCCCTATGTGGGTTGAGGCCGCAGGCAGGGAGCTGGTATGGGAACAGGTAGCAGCTTCAGCAGGGGCAGCTCAGCTGGGGCCCTTACCTCCACCAGCACTGCCTCTGGACTATCCCAAGGAGGGGCTCAGGCAGATGCCACAATCCCCAGTGGGAACCTGCTGGCTGTGTTCCCAGCTGCTGCTCGTGCGTGGGCTGGGAGCTGGTGTAAGCTTTGGGGGTGGGGGCATGCTGTAGGCGCAGGACAGATCAGGTGGTGGAGGGAGGAGGGAGAGAGAGACAGAGAAAGGTGCGCGGCCCGTGATGAGTGGCGGTGGCTGGTGCTGACGGGGGGGGGAGTGGGACCTGGCTGCAGGTGTGCTTGCCACTGCTGGGGCGCTTCTGGCTACAGCTGGCTGGAGCCTATGCCGGGGCTGCCTTGCAGCTTCTCGGTGTGGTTACCGCTGCTACCAGCACCACCTCCCAGTGAGATCTCGTGAGAGATGAGGGAGATTTTTCAGAGGCCCAGAGAGCACTTAAGTTTCTTACTCCCGTAGCAAGTCAATGGAGAGTAGGTGCCTTGATAATATCCTCCTTGATCTCCCAGGTTTTCTTCTCTTATGCATTTGCCAGATTCCTAAATAGTGAAGACTTTGGCCATATGATGAGGCCAATTTATTTTCCTTCTGGAAGCAGAGACACCTGGATGTGGGTGTCAGTTATACTAGAGGGGCCTCAGTGTAATGGAAGTTGAGCCTTTGTTGTGACATCAGACTTCCCATTAAATCACTTTGAAATGGTCCTCTGCCTAACTTTTGTTCTTGTCATCTCCTTGTGTGTGTTTTGGGTTTTTTGTTTTTGTTTTTTCCCCCCCACTCCCCTCCAGCTTTGTTAGTCTTTCTTTTCCTCTGTCTCCAGTTTTTTGCCACCTCCTTAACTGTGGGGAGTTAGGTTTATGCTCCCAAGTTTTTCTGTTCCTGTCACTTATGTCCCCTTATTTGCCCTTGATTCAGCAGAGCATCCTTGTTTAACAAAACACTGGTGCACATTTTTAATTTAACTTAAGTGGATGCTCAAGTTTTTTGTTTGTTCGTTTTTTGGTTGGTTTGTTTTTTTTGTTTTTTTTGTTTTTAAATCAGTTTATGTGTTAGGAAAGGTTCCCATTGCCAGAAAGGTACTTAAGGTCCTTTATTGACTTCGGTAAGCACCTGTTTAAGTGCTTAGCTAAACTGGAGTCCTGCCTTATGGATGGCACTCTCTCCTGTCAGGTTCTGATTTACTTCTGTCTCTTCCATTTGTTAAACTTGTCCCTTTGCTGTTAGACCTTCCTATTGCCCCCCCGCCCCAAACACTTGCCTCTTCTCCTCCTCTTTCCTGCTCCATTCCCATTTCTTTATTCACTGTTTGCTTTCCCCATATTCTTAGGTCTCTGTCACCACCACCTTCCTCTCCACACTCTCTCTCTACCTCCTTGCATTCTGCTACATTCTTCTTTTCCTTCTACCTTCTTCTCCGTCAGGCCAGTAGAATTCCTTTGCTTCTATTCTAGCAGGCTAAGGAAGAGCAGCGAAGGCAGAAGGAAAAATTTCAGAATGCTTTAAAATACTTAGTCTTGTGTGTGCATGCATACCCAAGTCATACGTGACAGTAACAGTACTCAGTAAAAATAGCTGGAGGCCTTGCACAGTCTTAGTGTGAGAGATGCCAGCTGACCAGGTACGTGAGGCACCCTTCTGTTTTTGTGCTGAAGAAAACGTTGCACTGAAGTTTACTTGATTGGAGAACCTAGCTTCTTGGTGACAGTAAATTGGACTTGGTAGAGTGTTCAGTCACCAAGGCTTGGTACAGGATGCTCTCAGACAGCATTGTCTGGGAAGATCCATTGTAGAATAATGTTTAAAATGAACCCTTTCTGAACCTGGTTCTTCCAGCAGAAATTTATGGGCAATGTGTTTTCAATAGGTCTCCTTAAGGCAGGGGTGGGCAAAATGTGGCCTGGGGGCCAGATGCAGCCTGCCTGGCCATTCTATCCAGCCCGTGGGGCCCCTAAAAAATGTAGAAAACTAATATTAATCTGCCCTGGGCTGCTTGTCATGCGGCCCTTGTTGGCTTGCCGAAACTCAGTAAGCGGCCCTCTGCCCAAAATAATTGCCCGCCCCTGCTTTAAGGAGCCTGTTCTGCATTTAAAAGCCAGGATAAGGCATCTTAGAGCAGCACACGTGCACACTTAAATGTAGCCGCAGTGCTGGGGTTGTCATCTAAAATCTAACCATATGTTTGAGAGGATGTAGAAGCCCCTCCCAAATGTGAACATGCAATAAATAGCCAGATCTCCCTGCTGTGCAGAGTTGGAGGGCGGGATTCCAAATATGAATAACTGGTGCCTCCTGAGACTGGCGGGGGAGGCACCATTTGTAGTTGGCGGTGAGCGGGGACTGCCCACACAAGCCAGCAAAGGCTTTGGCAGTGGCCAATCTCAGGGGGGGCACATACCCCCTCGTGCCTCCCCCATATGCATCACCTACGATTCCAAATGTTTTTCCGCTGCCCTGCTTATGTAGTCGGTCAGGAATGGTGCCTATGGATCACTTCTCATTGCAGCACTGAACTAGCTGCATATTCTTCAGACTGTATGTTACAGGTTTCCTTCGCTTTATGTGGATTCTGTATGTGCAAATTTGATCTTATGCGATGACCCTTTTTATACCAAAAATTCATTATATGCAAGGTAAATTCACTCTTATGTGATTGGTCCAGTGGAAACCCACAGTCAGCTGCTTTGTGCGGTACATTGCATGAGTGACACGCAACAAAATAGTCTCCTGTGTAGATCTGTGCTCCTCGTTCGTTTCTACAGCACGTGTTTCTGTAGTTGCCATCTCCATTCTGATACTGCCGTGTGCTTGTGTGTGCTGTCTGCTGTTGGCGAGTTCCAAAATTGTCTTGTAAAAGTGGTAGAAATGGGTCAGTACAGTCGAGGTCTTGGAACGTATCCCTGTTTGTTGCATTCTAAAGTGGGTTTCCTGTATGCAAATTTGAGTGGTGCAACATTTTCCAGGAATGCATGTACAGAATAAAGCGAGCAAAACCTGTACCTGGGACAAGGTGTTAGCTGATGTAAACTGACAGAGCTCCAATGATTATGTTGCTTAAGATCTGGCCCCATATGTTACTTGTCATGCTGTGGACCAGTCAAACTCTGCACAAAACTATGTTCTAGATGCGGTCCCATAGAATCGATCAACCTTTCGAAGAATTCTAGATTCTAAAATTCTTTGAAAGTTTGATTGATTCTGTGGGAGTGCTTTAAATCAGTCTCTGTTTACCAGAGTGAAGTCGAACCAGAATGCAATTATGATGTTGAGGGAATGTCAGAACTGAACACATGCATGCATACTTTTTTTTTTTTTTTTTTTTTTTTTTTTTTTTAAAGAAAAAGCTTTTTCCCTTAATTTAGAACAACCTGTAATTGGAAATATGAATCAAGTCTGGCTCTCCAGGAACATCTTCTTCGGTCTTCCCAAGTGATTTGCTTTGTCACAAAAAATAAACAATTAAGGCCACATTGGTTAAGCTGTAGGGTCTGGAGTTTGGCCCATATGTTCACATAGTTGTAACTGTGTTCCTTATCCAGCTGGTTGTTTTATGCAACACATTTACCTGGCATCTTTTGGAGGATTCAGAGATTGGAGAGTTTGGGCCTGTCCTTACCAGACACATTTTTGTTACTGAAAGCCCAGACAGTTTGTTTGACAGCTTGCTGTCTCTGTGCAACTTTCCTCCACACCAGAAGGCCTCAACAATAATTAATGGAGGCTAAAAACACAAGCTAAGTGCAGTGAGGTGAGAGTTGGAGGGAGGTAGCAGCAAGTCTGCTTCAAGGAAGCAAAGGCCACATTTGACATTTTCCTAGGTTGGAAATGCAGACTCCTTCCCTGGAGGGTACTTGGCTAAGTTAAGCTCTGCTCTGTCCCTGATGTCAGCATGGGTCTTTGGCATGTAGATAACAGCAGTGTTATCAGGGTGGGGCTAAAGAGCTTTCACTGGTGGATTCTGGCAGACAGACAGACCAGAGCCACCTTTTTTTTTTCTACTTTAAGTATCAAAAATTGGGTTTTGGCTTTTAAAAAGGGGCATCCAGTGGAGGGTACTTGCTGACAAAGAGCCTCTCTTGCTAAAAGTGTGACCAAACTCTGGAAGAGGTCCTCTTTTATAATACTCTGCGGCTTCTCTGTCAACCTGTCAAAGAGGTCAGCATCATTATACCACATGTTTTGGGTGAAGAGACTGAGGCACAGAGGGGTGCAATAGCTCCTCCAAGATCTCCTCACAGGTCAGTGGCAAAACTATGAATAGAAGCCAGATCTCCCAGACCCTGCTTCATCTACCAGGTTACTCTGTTTCCTGTTAAGGACCAGCACTGTTCCTGGTGGCCCAACATGACTTTTTACCAGCTGGTCACATGGTCTGTTAGCATTTGGGGTGCCAACATGAGAGTGATGCTTGGTCCTGACTGGCTCAGGAGCCACAAGTGTAGGTCAGTGTTAACTGACAAGCCACTACCATGGCCTCCCCCTTCCTCCCCTTGGAAATTTTTGGTAGACACACTCCCAGATAAAATATAAACCCATGGTGCATTCACTAATATTTGCACGCTCCCACAGGGGCATTCTCATGTTCTGTAGGGTTGCAGGAGTCGCATTTTGAATGCATTCAGGAAAAAAATAACCTTAAACATTTTTCTAAGAGCTCTGCTCTGAGTATCACTGCTGCAAAACAATGCCTCTTTTAAAAGGGGTGTGGGGAGGCACTGCTGGGCCAGAGGGCCTGTTCCTTTCCCATCTGTTACTTGCTGCTTGTGCAATTTTCCCCTGCATTGCCTGGCCCAAATGGCTGTGTGTTTATTCTGCTGTGTTTCCCTCCCCTTCAGCAAAGCGAGCTGAACTCCTTCCTCTGGACTATAAAGAGAGACCCCCCATCTTACTTTTTTGGCACCATCCATGTTCCCTATACCCGGGTCTGGGATTTCATCCCCGAGAACTCCAAGAAAGCCTTCCAGCAGAGCCACATTGTGTACTTCGAGCTGGACCTCACCGACCCCTACACCATTTCTGCCCTCACCAGCTGCCAGCTCTTACCACAGGGGGAGAATCTCCAGGATGTGCTGCCCAGGGACATCTACCGCCGGCTCAAGCGCCACCTGGAATATGTCAAACTCATGATGCCGTCCTGGATGACTCCAGACCAACGGGGCAAAGGGCTGTACGCGGACTACCTCTTCAATGCCATAGCTGGGAACTGGGAACGGAAGAGGCCTGTGTGGGTGATGCTGATGGTGAACTCTCTGACTGAAGTGGACATTAAGTCACGTGGTGTGCCTGTCCTGGATCTTTATCTGGCTCAGGAGGCAGAGCGTCTGAGGAAGCAGACTGGTGCTGTGGAGAAAGTGGAGGAGCAGTGCCACCCACTGAATGGACTGAACTTCTCCCAGGTAAGAGGGGAGGTGTGGATCAAGTGGGAAACTACAAGTCATCTTGTCTGAACCATGGTGGGTTGTTCTGATAGAGGAGTTCCCAAGAAGTGAATGTAGCCTTGTGGGGCATAGTGCTTCTCTGGGGGAGCTGAAAAGGGGAGATAGGGCCAGGCACAGGATCCCAGGGAGTAGTACGGCTGTTATACTGTCTGAGGGCAGGGGTCCACTTTCATTTTCTCCCCATGGCCATGTGTCAGATTAGGTCTGTCCTCTCCCTGTCCCCTACTTTCAGTGCAGATGCTGAACTCCATGTTCAGCCCCTGGTTGGGATCCTCCATCCTCTGTGCAGTGTTGGGCTCTCTTGCCCCAAGTAGTAAAAGCACTCTGAATACTTGTGGCAGACAAGGGAGAAGAGGCTGCTTCTATGGCAGTAAAGACCCATCCTATGGAGAAGCTGAGCTCTGTTGCTGTCTAGGCCCATTGACCTTCCAGGCTAGCATCCACTTCCAGTCATCAGAACCAGAAATAATTGTCAAATGTGCTTGGGTGACCCTCTCTTTGCCCTGCTCTGTGCTGGGGCAACGAGAGCTTCCCCCTGTGCCAGTCCTCAGTGCCCAGGCTGAAGAATAGTGGTCGATGCCTTCTCTATAGCTGTAGGGTGTTTATGGATATGGCGCCTTCTTCGAAATATAGGTAGGATATAGAGTCATCTTGTCCTGCAGTGGTGGGTCTAGCAAGTTAATAGGCTATGCCATGCACCTGTCTTTACTTCATTCTGTGATGAAGCTTGCTTTCACTGCATTTCAGTCCATGATGATGGGAAGGGGGCAACAGAGGCCTGGGATTGACCTTCGTACTGAGCGGATGCCTCAGTCATGGGCTCTGCTCTCTCAACTAAATATCCCAGGGAGCGATGCACATCGCTGCCCTGTGGACCCTCTGCCTGGCCCTGCCGACACAGCTTGCTAAAGAGAGCTTATTGGGGAAGAGCAAGGGGGTTTCAAGGAGGGGAGGTCTGGGAGTACCTCTGGCTGCAAGGCCCTTAAAGCATTGGCAGCCAGAGCATGAGTTATGGCAGCCATGGGGTGGGCAGATGGGAAGGTTTGGACAATACGTGACTCCCTCCCTCACCCTATGGGTTCCAGGCTTAGTGCAGCAGTGGTGGCTGTGCTGCACCCTGCCATGGTGGAATGGGACGGATTCTGGGTGGAGAGTCCAGACCTGGGGGACATGGCTCTGCAGGGCCTCTAATAAGCATGGGTGCTCAAGGCCGGCACAGCACTGGAGGGAGTGCGGCAAGGTGGTGCCTACATTGCAGTCAGTGGTGGACCTGGGGTTTAGATGGCCTGTGCTGCCCCTTGGCCATCAGCGTCCCTTCCCCCACCCCTTTTGCTGCCATCTGAGCTAGTTGATTTGAGTGGGCTCCTTCTTACCCTGCCTTATGCTGTGGTCACCGTGCTGCATCATCCCTGAGCAGTGCTGCTTGCATGCTCCCTCCCAGCTCCATATGGGCTTCTCCCCGCATGCTCTGGACAGCCCACTACCACAGTGAGTCCTGCCCTTGCTCAGGAGTATGAAGGTGGGGACTCCTGCCACACTTCTCTTAGGCTGGCTAGCAGTCTTTTGATTATTAGTACTCTGAATGCTTATCCTGTAGGCAACCCCACTGTTAACTCACTGCATGCTGAATACACTGTATTGAGCAGACTGACTTCTTCCTGGTGGAAAGAGAAGGAAGAAAATTTTGAGGCTGAAATCCTGGCCTGTCTGGCATTGATGCTACTTTTTCCATTGACTTTGGGGCCAGAATTCAACTTGAGGAAGAGAGGTTAAATCCAGCATTGTAAAATCCTGGGATTTTAATTTTTTTTCTCTCCTGAGTCTGAGTTTCTGTAAAGCCTGAGCTGATGGAGTCCAGTGATGATTACACAAGCCTCAGCTGTTGTTACAAACCTTTGGGAAGCTTTTCTCCTTATGACTCCTTGGAAAGGCTTGCAAATGTGAACTGAGATCACTGCAAAGGTTTAAGCAACCAGAAGGCAAAGAGCTTGTCTGCCTAGGGAGGTTAGTGTACAGTCAGCTAGAGGATGAATTTATGGTGCACTAGCTAGACTATGTCCCCACCCTCTGTGGAGAGTTGTAGCTGTGCAGTAGCTTGCTGCCATGTGAAAGTAGAATAAGTGATGCTGCTCTAAGTACCCACAATGGGGGGAGTGAAGGCAGAGGAGACAGCATACTGTGAATTCACACCCTACCTCTTACTGTCCTTTAATACTCCTGCATAGGTAAACCCAGAGAGAGAGAGAACCCCAGAAACCAATTTCTTGATTGTTTAGGGGCCTGACTCTCTCCTTATCTGAACACTACTGAGAATCTACTGCCTCAGGACTTTGCTCTGTTTTCTGTTCAGGTAGCTGAGATAATTTGTGTTTTAATAGAATTGGAGACCTTTAATCAGGGTGCTTGAAATAGCTTCCCTTGCTGCTCCACCAGGTGTCATTTGATTGCGCATTCCACTCCCCC